AACAAGATAACTGGAAGCTGGTTTTGCTTCTCACTGAGAGAAGGCAGAAAAGATAATTTCTAGGAAAATATGGGGGGGGTTCCATGGTTTCAGTTTGACAGTCCTCATCAAATCTCCCTGCGCCAGTGCACTGTTTATCAGTTCCTGTATTTGTAAAGCTAGCTTTCAAATAAGTGCTATCTTACCTGAAACATGTATCCTTAGGAAGTATTAGTGCACATTTGTAAAGCTATTTGAGGAAGGATAGTGGTGTTTTATTGCTAATTATCATTAATATGTTTTCAGTGCTGTATCATTTTCTCTAATTACTCCCTAAAAGCCAAATGGCTTAGTAAATAAATGGAAAAACGGTCCATCCAGAACCAGACAAGCTGCTTAGGCCATATGTTTAAAATACACAACTGATGGGCTGTGGAATTAATGTACTGAATTTAGGTTTTTGTTAGTGGAGGTTTTGGGAGAGAAGAGTTTTTTCCCCTGGCTGTTACAAAGCAGAACAAAACAAAACACTTCATGCCCGTGAGGGACTGAAATCTTTTTTCTTTTAATGCACTTTGGGACCACAGAGGGTGAGATTTGTGAGAAACACTATGAAGCACCAGTGTAAGTGAATGAGAATAGAGTCTTTTGTCCAGTGTCAGACCTCTGTACCAACACTTGGGTCACAGTTACTGTCACTCTGTTCATTCTTGTGCCCACACCAAATGGCAGATGGGATGTGACCAGCCAGAAGCAGCTGGCCAGCTTGTCCTTTTTAAGCCACTTTGACTACACTACTACTAAACCTGAATATGCCAAATCACCATAATTATGAAGAATCTAGCCTTTGAGTTTCTCTGAATGTAAACTCCAAGGCATTAGAGGGAGGATTAAAAAGCAAAAAAACAAAAAAACCCCAAAACAAAAACCTACCAAAAAATCTAGGCAGAAGGTGACACAAGCCTTTTTGGGGGTTGATCGTGGTGGTGTGATCTACCTGGCAAGCTGGTTTGGCTGGGATATGGGGACACCTGTAGAAGCAGCTGCAAAGTGTACTTCTGCATGGTAGGCAGGCAGGTAGAGCCTCCTTCTCTTTAGGGTATTAGTAGGATTGTCTTCAACTACCTTGTATAGATAGATTGTAGTTCAATTTCTCGCTTAACAAGATGAGTGCATTTCTCCATGTTTTTTGGTTGTTTAAGTCTCCTTGGTGTGTTTGACCTTGCCATTGAACTGAACACTAGCAGGCTCATTTTTCCTGCAAGATAAGAATTATAGAAGCAGTAAGGCAATGTCTTGCTAGATGTTACTAAATCAGATTATAACTTTCTTGCATTGAGTCTTGGGCATTGTCCAGCATGTAGGAGATTTAGGTATTAACTCAGCTTGTCAAAAAGAAAGCTGGCACACAAAATCATCACTTGGTAGAGAGACTGAATTAGAAAATTCAGGGTGATGATGAACTACTTAATGTGGTAAGAGAGAGGCTTGATGAAAGCTCATGAATAAAGGATCCAGACAACTGCAAATCTGAAATCTAAACAGTAAAGATGACTATGACAAGCTACTCAATGAAGTTCTGGACTTTCTGTTTCTCCAGCCATCAACCCAAATCAGTTTTTTTCTCTAACTAAAAAAAGCTTTAATTCAGCAAAAAGCTTCAAGCTGTATCTGACCATTTGTTGCTTGTGTTAGATGTAAGAAGAATTTATATGACCCAATGGTCTTTTCCAGCCTTAGAATTTAGAGCAAAAGTGACATTTTAATCTATGGAATGAAGCTCTTCCATAGGAAAACAAAATCTTGTGTTTACTGGTAATGGTAAGTCTTTTTCTCTTTAAAACTATAAAGAAACATTTTCTTTTATCTGTTTTATTTGAATCCGACCATCTTGTTTTTTGGAACTTACAGGAAAGATTTTAATCTGAGTCAGCTCAGTAAAACTATAACTGTATTTCCTCACCCAGACAGACATTGTAGCTGATTCTGCTCTGTATTTAAAAAAAAAAATAAAAAAAAAATTCTTGTTTTTGTTTAGAGCAAACAAGACTGCAACATTTAACAGAAAATCTGACGCTGTCCAGGTCTGTAGAAATATGTTGAAATAGGCATTTTCCTCTATCTTCTTCTGTTGTTTTTAACTACAAAAAAATCTAAGGGAAAGCATAAAATTTTGCAGAAATGCTTTTAAAAGCATGTGCAAAAATGCCCCAGCTGAACAGTATTCTCTGTGTCTCCTCTCACTGTTTTATCCCCCAAAAATTTGTTTGATGTCTAAGAGCTTTGAGGCTGAACCAACGCATCTGACTTAAACGAACAGATTTAGCTTAGCACAGTCAGGTGGCAAGAGTTAAAGGTGCATATTTTCTTGTAGTCAGGAGGAATTTAACATTTTTTTTTTTCCCTGGCTTTTCTAGGGATTTCAGCAAAAGTTTTCCTTCCATAGTAAAGAGATAGTGGCCATCAGTTGTTCCTGGTGCAAGCTGGCGGTAAGTGAATAATATTCAAGGAGACTGTGATGTGTGTTTAAATAGGAACAATTGTGGGTGATTTTTGTTGTTGTTGGTGGTGGTTTTGGTGGTTTTGTTTGTTTGGTTTGGGTTGTTTGTGGGTTGGTTGTTTGTAAGAAGGCATGATTTGGGAAGATAATCTTCAGTTACATGTTCCTAAAACTCTATGGTTTGAATGACTTGAAGATGGTAGAGTTGGAAATATAGCTCCAGTTTTTGTACCATCACTCTCTGCTCCCTCTCCATGCTTTCCCTTTATATTTCTTGGCCTCCTTGTTGACTCTGCTCTTTCCTTTTCTTCCAGTTTCATAACAAAGTCACCTGTTTCATGCTACATCACATTGAGGAGCCGTGTTCCCTGGGGGCTCATGCTGCTGTCATTGTGCCTCCCACCTGGATCATTAAGGTGAAGAAACCTCAGGTAACTGCATGCTGATGTCTGTTTCTGAAGCTGTGTGGCTGTGCAGAGCCAACCTGGCTTCGCTGCTTGGTTCTCCTTCACGAAAGCATGCTTGTTCAACCCTGTCTCTATCCCTGAAACCCAGCATACCTCCATGGTGATTATGAACCTGTATTCTCCTGCCCCTCCATCCAATCCTTCAGTAGATTTCCCTCTTTGGGATGATGAGCAACAAACATGACTTGTTCTGAGCTAATCCAGTTCAGATTTGTTCCTGTAACTGAGTTCAGCAAGCATACTGCAAGAAATCCCCCGTGTGGTAGGCAGTCAAGCATGTTTCATTAAATAGAGCTGAGCAAATACAGGGAAAAACCATTCACAAACGCTGACTTGAACAGCAGTAAGAATTGGCTGTGGCTGGACTGACACCCTTTTGAATTTGCCATTAGTGGACATGTAAAGAATCATGTCTTACTCGCATCAGTGCTTGCTCAGTGTCAGCACTAAGCACGCGTGCGCCTTTAGTTGAAGGTAACAAACACTAGACTTCAAAGCAATTGTGATGGATGATAGGTCCTGGAGAGGATAATTCGCTGGTGAACATAGGAAAAAAAGATATCCACAAGAGAGCTGGCCAAAAATTAAAAGGGTTTTCACATCATGCAAGAAGTATTTTTTCTTTGAAAGTCTGTTTTCACTCTAATTTGAACCAAAACAAATGCTGAACATATCAGGAAATCAGAAATACTGGTTGAATTTTTATTTCAGAATAACAATTTTTATTTCAGTCCTTCCTTGGGAAGTGACCCAGGCTTCTTAACTCCTGATTGTCAACAAGAAGCCCAGAAGTTCAGGCTGTAGACAAGGCAGTAAGACAAAACTAGTCCTATGAAACTGGAATAAGGCCCATGTATGGCCTGAGTGGTGATACTGCTCAGCCTTTTGTTTCAGACTAGAAGTATGAACAGCAGATTTGAGCATGATTAGGATTTCTAACAAGCTGGTTATTGAAGACAATGGGCAGAGAGAAGGAGAAAGATATGTATAGAGTAATCAAAAAATTGACCAAAGAAGTTGCTATTTCTCTTTTAGGTCAAGAGAGAATGTAGGCAAAATTCCTAAAAAATTTTAAAATTGATGGCTTTTCCCCACACTCTTTTTTCTCTCTTTTACTCAGATCTCACCCAGAAAAATCTATTTTTCCCTCTCTTGTTGAGGAATGTTTGAGTCTTGGCAGGGACTTAATATCCTTGGCTAATTTTCAACAACATACTTGACAGATGTATCCATGTCTGACCTTGCTAATAGAAACTTCCCTTCAATCTTTTTAATTCTTATTTTATTTAATTTTTAGTAGCCCTCCCCCCAAAAAAAATCCCACAAAACCAGTCCCTTTTTATTTTCTTTTGATTTAGCTTTTGGCCAAAGCAAGGTGCATTCTTTATAATATTTTTAGAGAATATAGTTTCTCGTTCACCCTTTTTTCCCAGACAAGTTCCAATTAAAAGTAAGATCTGATCTAGCTAATTCTTATTTATGGGAAAATATCTTTTAAATAAAGTTTTAAAATGTTAAACTATAAGAAAATATCTGTTAGCTTTGTGTGCTTGAGCTGTGAGGGGAGAGAAGGTACTGCAATCCGTTATTCCTCCTATATCACATCCCGAGTCCTTGAAATTCATGCTCAGTAGCATGCAAAAACCTTGAGTAGCTGAATCATTAGATAGATGAAAATTATATTAAACACAGACAATGGGGGTATTTCCATGAAACTTTATAACAGCTCCCATAGCAGTTATTGGGAATGCATCCTTATTGCTTTAGAAAATACTGATGCATCTTTTGGATGTGTTTTCAGATTTTTGGCAGAAGTTTCATTTTCTTATTTGTTATTTTCTTAAGAAATATTTTTCTTCTGCTGTTTCTGGCCAGCTCTTCTATGTATTACGAACCTTTCCACCCTATAGGAATGTTTGGTAAACACGATGAAATATTCACTGCATTCAATCTACAGAATATAAACACAATATTCACAAATTTTTTAAAATTCACGTTATAAATGAATGTGTAACCAACAATCTGTTTTTCACATATTCCACACTCAGAATAAATTTGGCTAGAAGCTTTTTTTGTTATAAAATATTTCCTCAGCTCTAATTAACCACTTACATTTGTCACAGACAACCCCTGAACTGAATTTCCTACTCATATAAAATTGATTTTAGTGGTGCCTGCATCCTGTTTGTTTGTTATTTCCTTTAAGCAAATAAGTTGGCTTTTTGTAGCAAAATCTTGCCCTGTTTTTTATATATATTTTTTTTTAAATTGCCACAAAAATGGTTTTCCATGCTTATTTTGTATAATGTGGGTCACCACCTTTCAAAGATCGGGCTTATGTAAAGACCACACTCCCCATCTCGTTACTGATGTTGTTGTAGTGAAACATCATGGTGTAATTGGCTAAGGATAAATTAATGTTGACAACCTATGTTCTAAATGGGGAGCTTCTTGCAAGCAATTGATTGCAAGATGAAGAATATTCAGAATGCTTCAAATAGCTCTGGAATTGGTGGTAGCTCTGTTTGTAAGGACCCACTCACATGAATGGAAAACTCCCAGTACCTATTCCATGTTATCCATAATGTGAACCACTTTTTAAGTTTTTTTACTGATTTCTAGTGTTTCTGTACTGTTAGCAGTGCTTTGAAACCAACTCTGTTTTCCTGGGGTTCAAATCAATTCCATCTCCTAGTTTGTGAAGGTGGTCACCCCTGTTGACTTGGTGGTATTTTTTAATAGGTGAGGTTTTGTAGCCAGTGCTGCTAGCCCTAGCAGTGGACTTGCTATATGCTTGTGATGTGGGAGAAAAGTAGGTACAAAGGAGGATCTGGCTGATATATTTACTGATTGAGTCTGTCTTCCGTTTGGGAAGACAAAGGCAGTAACTAAAATTCCAAGGTTTTTCTGTTCAAGGTGAGTAACCATGGTGTTTTCTTCTTCTGCTCCTTTGAGGACCTTGAAAAAGTTCTAGTGAATGCTTATATTTCTGGGTTTATTTCTTTATTTCCTCAATTGCTGAGTGCATCTGGCTTGACTGATGGTGTTTGTGAACAACCAGAAGATGGTCAAGATTGACCTTCCCAGGCGCTGGTCATTATTTAAGTAATCTGAAGATCAGTGTGCTAAAAGCCTTTGAAAATGAAGGCTGAAATGTTGTAAAGGAAAAGGTTGAAAGATTTAATTGGATTTCTCTGAGGTAGTCCATGGACTTTGCACCATCCAACACCCTACAAGAAGGACTCCAGTTCTCCTGTTCACCTAGCTAATCTTGCTGAGGGCTATACTGACCATTCAATAATATGAAAAATCTCTCTTTGAAGACGGACAAACTGACGTCCACAAAGGAGAGGTTTCCTCTCTAGAGGCAAGTTAGGATTTACTTATGGTGCCCATTTAAAGGTATGCTTTGCAATCAGGTCCCTTGCTGAATAACATTATATGTTTACAAAATACTCATCACCTTGTTATGCGAACAAGGTACTATGTATCCATTTCTTCACTTCAGTGTGCAAAGACTGCTGATACTCCTGGCTGTTACTCTTCTGCATGCTTGCACAAAGAGCCTGCACATGTTTAAGCAGCTTTTTTGCCTCTCATCTGCTATGGACGTGAAGTTGCAATAACCGTAGCAAAGCTTTAGGTTCTGCTAACACTGAGGTATAGGCATTTTATAAAAAAAACAAAAAAACCCCGAGAGTGAAATAACATTGTTGTGATGCAGTATATTTAATGCCTTTTTGATTACGGAAATTAAAATGTTTATAATCATGCATGGAGGCTTAGACTAAAACTATATCTTTAATATAGCTGTGTGCCTTTCCCTACCTCACCCATAGGCAAGAAAAAAGATACATTTTTATGGGATTTAATGACATCTATGTTTAAAAATTCTTTAAATTATTCTTTTAAAATTAGTCAGTGTTTTACTGAGCTGTCTTTGCCCTTTCCAGAAGAACTTCATTGGACTTAGGTCTGTCCATTTTGGAGGTAGAATAATAAGTACAGTCCTTCTTCTAGAGGTACAGTTAAGTACTTACCTAGTATTTTACTTAAGTTATAGACTCATATTTGTCAGCAGAATTCACTGCACTTAATCAACATGATAAGCATTTTGAATTTTGCACCTGGACAGACTGATGCAGGTTTGGTATGTGCGTGAGCTTTCAGTAGACTGCTAGCAAGACTGTGGATAGACTAGATCTTCTCGCTGTGTCCTGTGTTTTGCCCCACTCCAGGGATAATCCTTTATCAGAGAATGGATGAAGAACTAGGTTAAGACCTCCATGGGAGGCAACTTTGAATGTAATGTTTCCATAACTTTCTGTTGACATCAAGACTGTTGTACAGTCTATCTGATTACTGAGGTAGGGCAATGAAAGACCGTGTAGATGGGATTGCTGATGCACTTGCACAGTCAGTGCAATCGTTGGGGGTTTATCATGCTTTCAAAAATGCTTGGTATCAGAGTAGGGAAAAGTACGAACATTTCCTTGGGTAGTTTCTCAAAATAAGGTCTAAAAGGGTAAATGCTCTGAAATTGCTCTGCAGACCTGTCTTATCTTCAATATTTTCAGTGATCAGTAATGACTATATCCTGGTCCGTAAGTATTGTTGAGAGGTGATATAAAGCTTGGGACGTTGGGTGCTTCAGCAGACTTCTCTTGATCTCCATAATTAAGGACAGTGCCTTTAGGTCTCAGAGTTAAACAGTTGTTAATTTTATTTCTAAGAGATGTGGAAGCATTAACTTCTATATCTGGTCTGTCATACTGAAATCTTGAAATTCTGAAAGTGGTGGATGTGTATTAAACAAAATCTAGTAGCTATTCTTGTTGATGTTGGTTAGCAAGCAGAATGAAGAACAGACATCACTGTTTGGAGATTTGATGATGTCTGCTTATTGGCTTTCATAAGTGGTACACTTTTGAACGAGGTCAGGACAGAAATGAACATTCATATGGCTGAGTGAATTTTGCTTTCCCCCTTGAAACCAGGAAAAAAAATGTCAATGAACTTTCTTCTAATTCCCTGTATTACTTTATTTCTTGGTGACAGCTAGACTAGAAATTGAAATAATGCAAAAATATTTGGAGTATTTCCCATAATACAAAATTTCAATCATATAGAAATGGTTAGGGTTTCCTGTAGGTATGACTTTAATTTCTGAATTAAAATAATTGAAAAATATAATAAAATGATCCTTTTTGGACTGTTCTTATTAAAGCAGAACACCTTTTCGCTCAGTGTCACTGAGCAGACCTTTGCCAGCCTGGAGAACAGCCTTGACATAAGTTCTATTTTAATAGGTTCTGTAAAAATACAAGCAATTATATGTTTTTTCCAAAGTAGTTCAGTGATACTGTTATCTTAAAACAAAAAACCACCCACCCTACAAACACCTCCTTCACTCAAATCTTTAAAAAATTAAGATTAATTCAGTTTGTTCCTTAGCAGATGATTACACAAGTTTCTTGATAGGCTGGAACTGTCTCTACAGTGCCACCATCATACACCATGGTGGCCTATGTTATGTTGAGTCATAATGGTTGCCAGAGCTAAAACTTGTTGTTTTCTTTCCTAAAAAAAAAAACCAAAAAAAACATGAGAAATATCTCATTTATCATGTTTTTTTATTACATCTTTATGCAGGTGGTCTCCATACCAGGAGACGAGCCTGATTGGGCAGGAGACTGGAGCCCCGAAGGGGAAACGGGCGTCTCCTACCCCTTTTGGGAGGGTTGGCAGGTACAACATGTGGTGTTATGTGAGTCTATGGGAGCATCTGATCTTTTTTTCCCCCTCACAGCGTGGGAAAGTTTCCAGTTCCAAAGCACCAGTCTGGTCTCCGTGTGTGGCTTTCTCCATAACTGGTGGTGTGGAAGTGTAAAGCATGCAGCGCATGTGATTTAAATCTCGAGCATGTGCCAGATACTCTTATCATTCTCCAAGTGGACATGCATGGAAGAGCTTCGTAAAGGGGCTCTGTCTGGGCCTGTCTTCTAAATTTTGTTTTGCTTTTCATGTATTCTTTTTTTTTTTGATATAGAACTCCTTAAAGACTTCAACACGGCGAAAGAAGAGAACGTCTTTTAAAAGAAAAGCCAGCAAAAGAGGCAATGAAGTAGGTATTCAAGTACTTAGGAAATCAGATTCCTTTTGTTTAAATGTCTAAACCATGTCTGAAGTTTTTAGGGTTTTGGTGAATTTTCTTTTTTTAATTTTTTTTTTTTTTTTACTGCATTGTTTAATATATTTTTTCCCTGGAAAATTCAATGATATTGAATTTGTTGTTAGAAAAGCTAAAACTTTGTATGTGAAGTTTTATTTTCTGAGTTGATGTTTTTTCAAGAATCAAGGTACCAGACTCCAGAAGGACCACCACCCTAGTGAAAGAGTCTTCTCTTGGGATGTAAGAGACTCAGCTCATACCCTTGTTTTGCACTAGGCAGAGCAAGGATGTGAAACTGGGGTTGTGAAGTCCATGATGAGTGCACTGATGCAAGGCTCTGGTCCAGTTTGAGGATGTTTCCTTCAGGGGGTCTCATATTGGAAATATTCTGTTTGTGTGAAGGTTGAAATTCGACCACAGAGGCAGAGAGAAAACAGATTATTTTTCTGATGGTTTGATTACCCATGTATCTTATAGAAGACCTTGCTTCCTGACTCTTCTTAGTGGATTGGTTATACAGACAAAGAGCTTCATGGCAGAGGTGGAGGGAGACTGGCCTCTGCATAGCCAGGGCTCTCTGGTTCAAGGCCTCACTTGGGTGGTGGGAGAACTGCAGATCAGAAACTGGAATCCACATCTGTGAGAGCCCAGGACAGTATCCTCATTACTGGGCTCTCTGGTGTCCTGCAAAGGTAGGGAGTAGGCAGGAAAATAGTCTTCTCATTGATGGGATTCATTTCATCAGTGGCATTTGTTCAAAGGTGGGAAGACAACAAGGCCAAGAATTCAAGAGCAGATTACCTGCAAATAAGTGCTGATATAAATTATCTGTTAGATGGAATGAATGGAATAAGTAGTTTTTCTCATTCTATTTTCCTTTGGAAAAACTGTTCATATTACAAATAACACTGTATCTGCTACATTATTAATGCTGTGTGAATAATTAAGAGTTGGATGGCTGGAAATAATATTGAGTAAAATTTTTAACTAGTTATATATTACCCTGAAGTGATATTTCCCCCTCTTATTTATATTCTGTTGTCTCCTCTGGATAAATAAGTCCCAGCTGAGCATCACATTGACATGGCTGTACTATTTCCAATACCCGAGGTAGTTTTATCAGAGCTAGTTTGGGTCTACTGTGTGTGTTATGCCAGGAAAACATACACAGCTTGTACTAAAGCTATTTCTTGCTTCTGTTTCTCAGGAGAACAAAGGCCGGCCGTTTGTGATAAAGCCCATCTCCTCTCCACTCATGAAACCACTGCTGGTTTTTGTTAATCCAAAAAGTGGAGGGAATCAGGTAAGACCATCAACTGGATCCAGGTCACAAAGTTTTAGTTTAACAGTAGAGTTTCTGACAGTTAAATAACACTATTTCTTAGTCAGTCAGATAGAAAGGGCTCTATGCCTTAACTGCAGTCCTCAGAAGAGGTCCTTGCTGTTGAATGACCTTGCCACATTGGTGGAGCTGGGCAGTTGAAATGGGTACTTGAGTATTTGAGTGGTTGTATTCCCATTTTCAGATTCTTGAAAGGAATCTAAAATGACAGTTTGGAGGTTTTCAGAGAACTTCATCTTTCCACAGAAAATTGCAGTTGCCAATGCAGTTTTAGATTTCCCTTTATCCAAAAAGTGGTTTGATTTTACTAGGAAAGGCTAGTGAATGTGAAATGACATATTCATACGGTGTTTAAAAAACCATTAGTGGTCTTGTACTGTACCATGGAGAACCAAGTCTCAGTGATGAACATGCAGCAGACTTTTTCCTTAGTATTCTTGGAATGAATACTTACCCAAGTGAATGTTTTCCAGGTCAGTTCTGCTACTTTTTGAACATCAAAGAATCTGAGTGTCTTTTGACAAACAGGTCCTTCTGTTAGAAAAGATTGATGTAGGATACAACAGAGGCCTGTAGAGCATGGAGAATAGCATAGCCACTGTTCACCTTTTCCTCTGTTAGGAGAATTAGAGAGGATATCAAATGAGACTGCTAAGACTGATTCAAAACAAAAAAGCTTCTCCTTCTCATATTGTGTAGTTCAGCTGCGATAGGATGTTGTGGATGCTAAAAGCTTACACAGGCCAAAGGAGAGATTTGGAAGAGAAAAATCTGGATTACTGAAGTCCTGTACCTCCCGGTGGCTCAAGGGTTCTATGAATCACACACAGCTGAGACTGGAGGAATACCTATGGCAAACATCATATTTATTTTCTCTCTTCTTATACCTTTTCCTAAGTAGTATGACCACTGTTCTTGATTTTCCACTTAAGGGAAGGTATTAGGCAGAAGAGCCATCCCTCAGAAGGGGAAGCTGTGGAATGTTCCTGATGGATATCCCCCAGGCCATGTCTGAAAGCCATTCTTGAATTACTTTGGAATTCAAGCTCACCCCATGGAGTTCTTAGCTCTGTATTGCTAGTAAGAGATCCTGCTGTTTTGTGTCTGGGCAGAACATGGAGGAAGAAAACTGAGTGTCTGGAAAATGAATCCAGGAGTCTGAGAAAACAGAAATCCTACTTTTGGGTGATGAGTTGACCAGACTGCACTGAGTGAGGGGGCGCCGGGGCAGCTCTAGCCCTCAGAGTCCTTGGCTCCTGCTTCATTAAATGGTAGAGGGTTACAGTTATGAGTGTTCATGGTGGTGATGGTGGAGGTTAAAGCATTGTCATTGCTTGGATGTTGGGCAGGACAGTGTTAAATGTGATGGTGACTTTGCATACAACCTTGTTCAGCTTCTTACTGTCATGGATGATTGAGGGTGCTATGGGATAACAGGGGTTTTTTTTGTTGCAGGTGATGAGAGGCAGGGGAACAGGTTGCTGTGGGAGATGTACCTTTGGTCTGACCCCAAACACATGTTCTTATGAACCATTTTGAAATTAGTCAATATGCTTATATGTGCACCTTGTCCAGATTGGTGGTTTGCTATTCTACAGAGTCTATTGCTATTCTAGTTGCTATTCTACATTCATTTGCTATGTCTCTTTCTAATTTGTCTTTTTCTTGTTTTGTTTGCTTTATAAAGCACAGGGAAAAAAGAAAAAGCAGTTCAAATATAATGAATAATGCACACTATTATTTCTAATAACCATTAAACTACTCCTAATTTCCCTTCCTTCGATTTTTTTCTCTTTTCCCAGGGCACCAAGGTTCTCCAAATGTTTATGTGGTATTTGAATCCACGCCAGGTCTTTGATCTCTCTCAGGATGGGCCAAGAGATGCGTAAGTTTTCAAGCCTTCATCTCTGCACACCCTCTTTCTTTTCTTTTCTGATGAGGGAAGCAGGAAAAGGTCTACTTGGCTAGATTAGTAGACTGTGTATGAGGTTTATGTATCCAGATTTTGGTAGCAAAAGGGAGGACTGAAGTGGTGGCTTTTATGAGAAGAAATCAGGAGCTGCCACTGTGTCAGACAGAGCCAGGTCCAAATGGCTCCAAAACTGACTCACTGCTGACCCCAGTGCCTGAACATTCCCTGATGGATGAGAACCACAGTGGGGTGAGGATGCCTCCAGATTGCTATACGTGACAGTACTGTGCAAATGTCTCTGCTTGCTGAGTAACTATCTGAGTTTATCTGGACAGTTGAACTGTGATCCTCTTCCAAGGGAGAGAGGACCTGTCTTTAAAGGGCTGATTCTTGCTGCCAAGGGTTAAGAAACCACACTACTATGGTGACTGAAATGGAGATACTTGCTGTACTTAACATCTGTTCAGCCCTACTTTCACAATTTAGGCAGCACAAAAAGATAATAATAATGTAAAATAAAATATTTACCTGCATAAGAACAGTCCAAGTGTTTCCTATTCAAGGCACCCAAGCTTTTTGTTATTCCTGCAGAAACATCCCCACTGCTGTTCTCATGTGATGTTTAGAGGCTTTAAGGTAGATATACATTTTTCAGAGCTGTATAATGGGGCTAAAGGAGGATTAGGTCCTCTGGTCACTCAGCTCTATACACACGAATGTACCCACTACATTACAAGATATTTCATTATGCCTTTCTTTGATGAAGCTGAAGAAGCAGGACTTCGATGAGTGCTTTTTTTGTCTCTCCTGTTGGTATCTTAGGTCAGATATCCCAGGACAGAATGCTATTAGATGTTCTTGCCTTCTGTGGTGTTAAACTGTACCAGTTGAAGACGGTGTCATATTCTACAAGCTTAAGAAACAGTAGCTCATCAAATCATGATGAGGAACAGTAAATTTTGTTTAAGAACTTTGGTGTTTAAATTCATTTGCTTCAGGGTAAGAGAAAAATGAAAGATTGACCTCTCTAGAGGGAATGTGAGAATCTGGCCTTCCAGATTTAGCATGGGAACATGCTAAACTGATCAAACACTTGTCAGGATATGTTGCCTAACGTGGAGGAAGGTCCCATTTCGCATCCTGGTGGTTTTGCATGTGTTCATGTGAAGACATGAAGTGAGCCACAGGGCTCAGGTTGGGTTGGGGCCGATGCTGCCTGTGACTGCCAGGGCTGAAGCCATGACACTGCTGAGGTTTTTGGAAACAGACATTTTTTCTTTTTTCCCCACCTCCACTCACATTCTTAGTAATGAATATTTGAAACTGCAGTAAGCAGTGGTTACACTGTCACTCAACAAAATGCATAAAAAGTGTCTGCATTATTTTTCTGATTTTTTTTCCCTTTTTTCCCTTTTCCTCCCTGACCAGGCTGGAGCTGTACAGAAAAGTGCCAAATCTGAGGATCCTGGCCTGTGGCGGGGATGGGACGGTAGGTGGCCAGCACTTGGCAGCCCAGTGGTCTTTGACCAAGTGATTAAATTCCTTGCAGTGATGGGTTTCCCACCTGACAACACCTGCAGAGCCAGATAACATATCTAATGCTTGTGAAATCTAATTTTGGTTTTCCAATTTTATGTGTGGCCTTGCCTGTGTAGATATGGGGCCAGATCCTAATTTCTGAAGTCCTTTTTTCTTTATGCATAAAGATTTGGTACAGCTCAAAAAAGATAAAGACTAACTTTGCTGGTCTCCTCTCACTATTTACAGAGATCTGAGGGTCTAGCAGGTTGAGCCAGTGACTGAGGGCCACTCAGCTCCTTCCTGCTGTTGTCTCCATGGTGTTTGAGTACAGAAAAATAGTGTCTTCTCTGTGCCTAAAGAAAGTTAGTTTCCCCATTTTCTTTATGAAGCCTCTGTGAGGAAGGATATTGCATTGGTCATACACCTAGTCTGCGATCTGGCAGATCAAGATGCGTATTTTTCTTTGCAACAGAATTTCTGTGTTTTTGGATAAGTGAATAGGTTCAAATCTTTAAAGGATTTGGGCACCTTCAGTTGGAGACAGACTCTGCATTTCAGAGTCTGGAGGCCATCAGTGATAATGGAGTTATTACAACTGCATTCTCTTTCCAGTAACTAGGAATGTTGTAAATCCCAGTCTGTGCTACTGAGTGCTTAAATACAGTTGAAAAACTTACCTTTAATATCTAGTAGGCTCAGTTCCCCAAAATGCATTTGATAATAATTTTAACAATAAGTATGGTAAGGAAAATGCGTTACCTCTTGCAAGATGCAATGACTGGACAGAATAGATATATGTAGGTGTTTAGGGCTTGGAGAGGTGGTTGGTTTATTTTGTATTGAGCTGTACCCCCACTCTTAGCTCATCTCTGCTTGAATTTCTGGGGGAATTTTTTTGTTCAGCTTCTGTGGGTTCCTTTAAAACCGCAGCAGTAGGGTTACTAATACCAACGCTTCCCCTGCAATTGTGAAGAAAAAAAAAATCAGTGATAAGACTACTGTCTTGATGGTTCATGGGAAATTAAGACATTAATGAATTATGAACATCTCTTAAGAAATGTGCAAGGCATTGCTTTAGCAGGAGACATAAGCTGCAAAAAAGTGATTAAATCTGGAATTCTTTCTCTTTTCCATCTGAGGAAGCCAAGGTTTTCATTGAGGGGAAAAAAATATTTGTCATGGAGGTATTAAAATAGAAAAGAATACAACTACATGGAGTCGGACCATCCTTTGTTTTCCCTTTGCTGAACTGTGCAAGCGAGAGGTGGCAGCACCTTCTCATTAGTATGAGCAGCACTCCACTATTACTTTTGCTGCCGCTCAGTTTGAAGCAAATTAATATCCAGTTATTCCCAAAGCCATTACATTTAGAAATGGAAAATCTGGCTCAAATGGACTTAATGAATATGCAATGAGACCAGATGTTACCTTGCATTATTGAGTTGAATCAGAACTCATTGTAACTTTTCCGTTGGCACTGCTTGCTGTTACTTTGCAGGGCAGAAGTGGAAAACCTGTCTTTCAAAGCAGTCAGGAGCTTTCTGTTAATAGGGAAACGATAGTCTGTGCCACCCTCGATTGTACAACCAATGCACAAGGTTTAGAAGTGACCTCAAGTTAAATAGCAATGTTGTACTTATCAATTAGTAATTTGAAATTTCTGTTTATCAGTTAAAATCATTCACAGAAATGCTAGGTGTTGTAATGTTATCTGCAGCACTGAGAGACTGACTGAGGCACAGATGTGCGGATTAAGTCGGTGATAATGAAAAAGGAGCTTTTAAGATTTCCTGGCCCCACTGAAGTTATTTGGACTGTTCATTCTGTCTCCTATTAACAGTGTTGAAGGATAGATATTTTCAAAAATAGAGGATTACTTACCTCTGAAAATCCCTCTAAAAGACTTACATACTTTTGGTAACATCCAAAGCCATGAGAGCTGTAAAGCCCTGAGATGACTGTTGTCAAACAATGAACTTGAATATGGGATCACATCCCAGAAGAATGCTTTAATAATTGGACAGTTGGTTATGAAAAATGTCATTTGTGCAAAATTAAATTTATCTGTTAAGAGACTTGGAGAAAGAAATACCCAGAATACTTAATTAGCATGGTGGTTGCTATATTTAGCAGACCACCCTCTCTACTGATCTTCAGATTCCAGCTATTGTTCCTAATGCCCATGTTATGCTGGGTGCCTTTTGTGAAGCTCCACTGTAACCCCAGTTTGGGTTAAGAATCTATTTCAAACCACAATAATATTAGTTGGGGCAAGAAAAATTCTGTCCAGCTGCAGTCAGGTTTTCTGTTTCCTGTCTTATTTAAAAGCTCACATTTCCAGTAGAAACTGCATCTTTGGAAACTGTGAGAGGGGAAAAAAAAATCTTCTGTTTATTTTTTATTAATGCTTTATTTAAAAATGCAACTCAGATTCTTCACAAAGTATTATTTTTTTTTTTTTAACGTGGAGGTAGTTTAAAGTGAGAAGTAGTTTAATAAAGAGTTCTTTGGTTTTGTATCAAGAATATCAATAAAATGTTTGGTAACATCTTTAGTAACAATTCTTTCTCCCCCTTGGAAATTACCATTTAATGAAAACAGAATAGTTTACAGTAGTTTGTTCCTTCTGGATAGATTTCTATTTGAAAGTTTTATGTAGTCCAGAATAAAGACAGGAGAGGGAAATAGCTGTCTAAAATAACTAATAGCTTAGAATATAAAAGAGACTGATTCATTGTTCCAGATCCAAGGCCTTTAACCCTGAGCATTAAACTCTGTCTTTTATTTTAGTCTTTTAGTCTTTTATTTGGTATGTGTGTATATGTATATATTATATATAAAGATATAATGCTTTGTACTGAGTAAAATAATTCAGCACTAAGGTCTCATGTCTGGGAAATGGGAGACTTGGGGGCAAGTTAATGCTTGACGTGACGAGTTCTAAGACACCATGCGGTTTTAATGTGTCTCTCACATTTTCTTTCGTAACTGTTGTCTAAGGTTTCGTTTCTTTTGGCATAATGGTAATTTTGAAGACATTATCTTGAATTTTCCGTTATTATTCTTCGTTCATTTTGCATTTTTTTTTAACGTGGTCTTTGCTGTGAATAGGAATATGATATGTTCAAAATACGCCTTTTTCCTTTTAATCTTTCTGACTAATGGTTCTCTGCATTTCCCTTCTTATAGGTGGGCTGGATCCTCTCCATTCTTGATGAGCTGCAGCTCAGCCCCCCACCTCCTGTGGCTGTCCTTCCACTTGGCACTGGGAATGACCTTGCCCGCACCCTCAACTGGGGTGGGGTAAGGACTGACTGGGGCCACCCTTATGTGGGGGTTCTCAATTTGCTTCTTTGATTTAGTTGCGTGTGGTGGACCCTCCTCTGGGCTAAAATAGCAGGCAGGGCTGTGTCCAAGGTCTGCTTTACTTTAGGCATAATGGTTTGATTCAATTTCCAGTCTGGGATTTTGAACTACTAATGATGTAGTTGTAATAAAAGTGTACTTAAATATATCTGGTATTTCAGGCCGAGTAATGAGGATGATATGCAGGCTTCTCATTTAAGCATAGTTTACGCTTTATTTTTCTTTGTTTATCCTTGACTGTGGCACTGGAGTTATTCCAGGCGACACAAATACACTTTGAGTGCCTCTCCTTATGGTTTGACTTTGCCTGCCCTAGATTTGTGCACCTCAGTAATAGCTTGTTATTGATGCATCAAAATTTATCAGGGGTCTTAGGAACCTTTGATTTGGTGTGAAAGGAGGGAGGTCTGCCAGGTAATTGGTGAGTGACTTGATTTGTTTTCACCATCCGCGGCTGATACTCTGGTCACCTTCTGCTGTCAGGGTTACACGGATGAACCAGTGTCCAAGATCCTCTGCCATGTAGAAGACGGGACCATTGTCCAGCTGGACCGCTGGAATCTGCAGGTTGAGCGCAACCCTGATTTGCCCCAGGATGAGCTGGAGGATGGGGCACGTAAGGTTAGAGCCTACTTCTTCCCACAGAAACTATGGGATGCTTATGGATGCCTTTGGGTTACACCATAAGCTGCGAGGGTGGGGAGTCCCAAACATTTTTAATTTGCTATTTGCATCTCTTCCTTTGGTTCTTTTCATGTGTCAGTGATTCCAGAGTTGTGCGAAATGTAATGCATTTATTTGTTGTTTTGTAACTCCCAGGCATTGAACATTTATGTCAAGAACTTAATCCTGGAAAAAAAAAATCCCTAGCATTTTTGTTTTTCTCTAGTTGCAGGAGAAGCAACCCTGTGACTACCATCCATTTCCAAATTAGACAAAACTAAAAGCAGGATGTAAAATTTTATTCATTAGGATTTTGCTTATGGATACCAGCTGTTTCCTACTTTACAGCAAGGTGTAGTGTATTTTTATATTTAACATCTTTGTGTGTGGGTCTCTCTATAATCTCCATTAGTGAATCTTGATAATTGAAGAGTGGGAAAATCTTTTGTGAGGAATCTTTTGTGAGGGAATTATATGCCATTTGGACTGGAGATGTTGAAGCTGCTACAATAATAAAAAAACCTCTGATTCTGTGAACCATTTTTCTCTTCTCATTAATAATTTCCAGCTTATCTGTAGGATGGTACCGTTCCCTCTGTACAGCCCTGCTGGGGGTATATAACAATGAAGAGGCCAAATATGTGCTTCCCTGCCTCATGCACCCTCAATAAGTCAGGGCTTCTTCTCTGGGACTTGCATTGGTCCTGGTTATATGTGAAGTGAGAAGAACACAGCTTGTGTTTCATTTGCCATGCTGAGCTTGAAGAGCCAGCAATTAGGAAAATCGTTTTATTGATGACATGTTAAGTAGTGCAACCTTATTGGAAATCTCAATGACAACATAAGGAACCCTTTGATGTGTTTGCAAGCATACATATATGGTCATAAAGTACTGTAATGTGTTTGTGTTCTTTGGGTTCTTGTATCTGATCTCTTCTGCAAGCCATTACTAACCTTCAGAGCAACCTTCTGCTTACATTTTCCTGATACATCCTACTTTCCTCTTAGGTTTTCCTGACATGCCAGCTTTAAAGTAGTTAATCCCTGGTGTGTTGAGGAATGTTTCATTCATGTTATTTTTACATCTCTTTTTATTATCTAATTACAGCTTCCCCTCAATGTCTTCAATAATTACTTCAGCCTTGGATTTGATGCACATGTTACACTGGAGTTCCATGAATCTAGAGGTAATAGGGACTTTTATTTCCTTAGCCTTGTGGATGGGCAGTTACTTCATGAATTGGAAATAGAGTCGGATTTAACATCCTGTTCTTATAATTCAGAAGGAGAGCTGGAACATAAAAACACAAGATACAATCACTTTCTTTCTTCTTGTATGTATCATGAGTTTCCAAGTGACTTCATCATTCAAAAACTGAAAAAAAGTGTGAGGAAGACTAGTATTTACTGGAGGAAAAGGGCTGAAAGGGAAGCTTTTCGAGGTTTTAGATCTTGTAAAGGCGATAAGTACAGACATAAAGGAAGATAATGATGGTGTAGAAGTGTTAGAATAAGAGAAAGAAAAACAAATAAGTCAGTTGCAAGTGTGGAGGTGGAGGGAGGAGAAGAGCTGCAAGACTGTAAGTAGTAGGAGGATAATTGTGTTCTCAAGCTAAGGAGCTGTTATCTATGGATGAGTACAGCACATTGACACTGGACTTGGTATAGACCCAGAGTGTCTCTGTGCAAGTTTAAGGTTTTAATGCCCACAGAATTGTCAGGTATTTGAGCAGTTGTAGCCTCTTGTCTGTTCCCATGCCAATGGCAGTTTTGCCACCCCACAGAGGTTGAAATGTGACTTAACTGGGTGGGTTTTGAACTGATGTGAACTGATCTATTCATATAGTTTAGGCAGGAGTGCTTGTAGAAACAAACCTGGTTCCATTCTCTATGTTCAGCTTTTGGTCATTCCAGCTTCATATGCAGGTATTTTTTCTGCAACACAGCCTCCCTTATCTTTACTGTCATACTATCAGTATGTCATTTTAAGATGAAAAGATAGCACTGTAATGCCAGGCTAAATAAAGAGCAAGATACATGATGGAATGAGCTAATGCATATTTTATAATGTTTAAGACTGCTTCAAGCTTTAGGAATAATAATGTGGGGCCACAAAAGGGCACAAGAATGAAATGATGACAGCTGTATGCATTTTTTTTAATGAGTGCATATCACTATGAATTGCTAATGTGACTATGAATATACAGTATAGATTAAATGCATGTCTACTTTCTCGTTTAATGGAGGCATTATTTAATAATGAGTTATGGAGCCCTATAAAGAATGAATGTTATTCCAGACATGCCAGTGCTTTAAAAATTTACATGGGTGAAAAAATACTTGGCAGAGCAAGCTGTGTGTATGTGTGGCCAGGAGAGCTTTTTGTAGCACAAGTCTTTACTGTCGATGGCTTCCTTATCTTCTCAAATGCTGAAATATACAAAGTGAATCCTATGTATTTTAGGAGAGGGAAGCTTATAGCCTTGGAGGTGTTGTTAGTGTGTGGGTTGTACTGTTTTTCATGTGAAATTGGGGTTGCTCTACCTGGAGAAGAGAAGGTTCCCAGGAAACTTTATTGCAGCCTTTCAGTACCTGAAGGGCGCTTACAAGAAATACGGGGCCAGAATTTTACCAGGGCCTGTTGCAACAGGGCAAGGGCTAATGCTTTTAAACAAAAATAGACTAGATATAAGGAAGAAGTTTTTAACAATGATGGTGGTAAAACACTGGCACAGGTTGCCCAGAGGGGTGATGGATGCTGCATTCCTGGAAACATTCAATGTCAGGTTGGATTGAAAAGGCTCTGAGCGGTAACCTGATCTAGTTGAAGATGTCCCTGCTCATTGCAGGGAGGTTAGACTAGATGTCCTTCAAATTTCACTTCCAACCCAAAGTATTCTATAGCCCTGTGAAATAAGAAGTGCAAAGCAAATTCCAGTCTCTTTTACAAATGATGACAACCCAGAGAAATTCTTAGTAACAGTAGCAAAGTGTGAAGCACTTTCAGGGCTGTAGCACTTAGGCTATTGAGTTAAATGGCTGTGTGTAGTTGCTTATGTGGAGCTATTGTAATCACGTATACTATTAAAACAAACACATACCATGCCTGCAAACCAAAATAAGATCAATTGATGTGAACTCTCAGCCTAGCAGGGCACTTTGTGCAATAGAGGTTGGTCAGCTGTACTATTTAGAATAAGTGGTGACTGCAGTGTCTCAGAGGAACTTGTATGTGAATGTGGCCTTTTCTATGGTAACCTCTGTACTTTTCTTGTGACTAATCAGATTGAGACTTGAGGATTGGATCCAAGCCTCATGTACTTAGCTCTGCTTCTTCAGGAAGTGTTCTAGGTAGCAACCCCATTGCCAACCTTATGCTTTGGTAGAGCACAGAAGATGCAATCTACTTTATCCCTGCTGACATGCTGTTTGATCCCTTGGCTCTGAAGGACTGTTCATTTGCAGGAAGCCCCCCTGCACTGCACACACACAGTCTAACACATTCCATTCTCTGCTCCCTTTATAGTTTGAGAATGGTGAGGAT